CGGCGCTCCCTCAGCGCTGACCCTCCGACGGTGCGGCGCTCCCTCAGTTAAGACTGTGTGTCAGTCAGTGCTGTCTCTAAGCTGCTGAAGACAGGGATGCACTTTGGTGGAAACTCTTGTTGCTCAGTGTTGAGAAAGCACAGTGTCACCATTGCCCAGAAAGAGCTGCTTTAACAGGATCGAGGTAAATGTTGTGCTAACTGCCAAACGTCAGAAAAACACTGGACCAGTTTGAACCCAGAGCAGGAGTGTCTGGCTTTGACTGTAATACCATCCATGGCCTGTAACGTGCCTGCCCGGTATCTAGGCGTGTGTCTGAAAGGACAAGGTGAGACAGGTTTACTAGAACTGAATGCAAAATAACCCTCTGCCTTCTGGGGTCTGTAAGCAATGGGGTTAGTGGAAGTATCTCTGTGAGATTCGTTTCCTGTGATATTGACTGCTTACCACTAGATGGTAATACTAACTGGAGCAGAGGCTGGAGATTAACTTCATTGCTGTTTGAGAGATCACATTTCTATTCTCTGTTGATTAGATTTTATCGGAGAGCTTGGGTTACCTTCGATCGCAGTGTCAACATCAAAGAAATTTGTTGGAATCTCCAGAACATCCGAGTAAGTGCTTCTGGGTCAGGGAGAGTACCTGTGGAATGTGTTTGCCCCTCTTTCAGGATAGTTCAGGTTTACTGCCCTGATTCACCCTTTGAGTAAGTTGAGGCTTCTTCAGCCCCATTCTGGGTGAGGTGAGGGGCTTATTTGCCCTTACTGGTGGGTCAAGTGCTCATTGTCAGCTGTGTGCAGTTCACAGTTCCCTCCCTCCAACACCCAATGCTCTGACTGTTAGTGCCCCTTGTGTCCTCTCGACCGTGCTATGATGGCTCCCCCACTCTGAATGTCGTCTCCATCCACAATGTCTCGGCTACAAAGACTCGAGGTCACAGGTTCTGTGTCTCCTTCTGTAGTCTGTACTCTGTCAGTTTCAAGTCCAAAGAAAAGGGGCTGTTGAAGCAGAGAAACAGCACTGCCCCTGCAGTATCTTGTAACGTTGTCTGGAAGTGGTGTGCAGACAACGACGAAGGATCAGTTCCAGGATACGGCTGCGATGCTCCCACAGTCAAATATCCAGCCATCACTCTCTGCCCAGCGTTAAACCTGAATTGAAGACACTCAGTTGCAGTTTGCTGGAGTTGCTGATATTAGAGACCAGTGCTCCATTAGGAGCAATGGCTTGTTGGTCTAGGGGTGTGATTCTCCCTTTGGGGGTTGTACATGGCAGACATGCAAGAGATGCTGTACTCAAATCCCGGACGAGATTTGATTGTCTGGTCTCATTATAGGGCAGCACAGTGGCTCAGTGGTTAGCACTGCTGCCTCACAGCACCAGGGGCCTGGGTTCAATTCCACTATTGGGTGACTGTCTGTGTGGAGTTTGCACATTCTCCCCGTGTCTGCGTGGGTTTCCTCCGGGTGCTCTGGTTTCCTCCCACAGTCCAAAGATGTGCGGGTTAGGGTGGATTGGCTGTGCTAAATTGTCCCATAGTGCCCAGGGATGTGCAGGTTAGGGTTGGTTAGCCGTGCTAAATTGTCTATAGTGCCCAGGGATGTGCAGGCTGAGTGGGTTAACCGTGCTAAATTGTCCCATAGTGCCCAGGGATGTGCAGGTTAGGGTGGATTGGCCGTGCTAAGTTGTCTATAGTGCCCAGGGATGTGCAGGTTAGGGTGGGTTAACCGTGCTAAATTGTCCCATAGTGCCCAGGGATGTGCAGGTTAGGGTGGACTGGCCATGCTAAGTTGTCCCATAGTGCCCAGGGATGTGCAGGTTAGGGTGGATTAGCCGTGCTAAATTGTCTATAGTGCCCAGGGATGTGCAGGTTAGGGTGGTTTGGCCGTGCTAAATTGTCCCTTATTGCCCAGGGATGTGCAGGCTGGGTGGGTTAGCCATGTGAAATGCAGGGATGGGGTGAGGGGGTGGTCTGTTGGGATGTTGTTTGGAGGATTGGTGTGGACTCAATGGGCCAAATGGACTGCTCCGCACCATAGGGATTGTATGATGAAGAATGATGCTTCCTCAGGTTGATGCAAGGGACAGGTTGAGTCATTGATGTAGAGTGTTGAGGAGAGACCCCAAGAGTGGGGAGAACATGGGACTCACAGCCAAGGGGAGTGGTTGAGGGCAATAGTGTTGTTGTGTTTGAGGGAAAGCTGGGTAAACCAGTGAAGGGGAAAGGAACAGAAGAATATTCTGATAGAGGAGATGAAAAGGGTGTAGGAGGGCCTTGTGTGGAGCAGAGACTAGCACAGAGTGGACAGGTTGAACAGCCTTGTTAAGCTGACATGGACTGCCCAGTGAATGATGTGATTGTCTGTCTCCCTGCAGCTACGAGACTGTGAGCTGAGCCCGGTGGTGAATCGGGACCTGGCCCGACGTGTCCGCAGCATTAATGGTATCACGCAGCACAAGCAAATAGTCCGCAACGACATCAAACTCGCGGCTAAACTCATCCACTCGCTGGATGACCGCTCGCAACTGTGGTCCTCTGAGACGGTCACTGAGGAAGGCCGAGTTGAGGTCAGTGTGAGGCAGGCTGGAGGGGGTGGTGGGCGCTCTCTGTTTGCCTGTGTTCAGTAACACTGTGTTGAGCAGCAATGATGAGCAGTGATGGTCTCAGACTGTCCAAAAGGCCAAAGCAGGGCTGCTTTTAGCTGTGAGAGACAGACAACCAAGTATTTCCCAAGTGTTACAGCGCCAAAGAAGTTGCCGTTTCTTTAAGATGTTTCATTCTCCATTTTGGAAACTGTTTAAAACTTGTTGTTTCAGTTCAGTGAGCCGTCAGCTATCCTGATAGCCCTCCTGGTGTGGCTGGATTGTGTCGGCTGGATTGTGTCAGCTGATTGTATCTGCTCTCGGATTTCCCTGGCTTTGTTCTAAGCATATCAAACAGTTTGTGTTTGATACAAGTTGTCGATCTCACTTGTCACATTCGGGCTGAGCCGCTGGCCTGCTCCAGCAAGTGGATTACTGTGGTCTGAGCTAACATGAGCCCCATCAATCAACACCACGCCCCCAAAACCTTTTTTAAAAAAAAAGTCTCTTCATTTCCCAACCTTTCCGGTAATGAGGCAGACAGTTCCATGGCGCACGTACTTTCCTTCGCCAAATCTCCGTGTATGTGCGGTATCGGTCATCTCTGTCCGTGTGGCTCCTGAGGCTTGCATGCACACAGTGAGTGGAGCGCCAGATGTCAGCGGAGGCTGTCCTGTAGTAATTGACATGGAGGCTCCCAAGGAGATTGAGAAACATGGACAAAGCCTTGATGCTCAAGAAAATGGCACAACTTCCCAAAACCTTTTCTCGCCATCGCTGTGGCGCACCAGTGCGCTGGTTGAGATCTGTGCAGGAATTTGACTGACTCTGAAATTTGTTGTTTTTAATTGTAATCATTCCATTGATATCAACACTCCTTTGCTGTGCTGCAGTGGGGCGGCTCCTTCACCCCCACCCCATTCCCCATCTGGACCTGCTGAAGATTCACGAATAGAGATTATTACAGTGATTAGTGCACACCCCAGTCTCAATTTAACTGGTGAACAGGAAGGTAATGTCTTTTACCATCAATGTTCCTATCAGAAAAATAAAAACAACCTGCTGCAAACCGTCTGCAACATGCTATAAACAATTTACCATCTATGGCTGCTTTTTGTTTTATGTTCCACTGAGCAGAAACTTGCTGGTGTTTTTACAGTTTTTTTTCTCACCCACTGAGCACTTCACACAACAAGTGTGTGGCCTACCACAGATAGGACAGCGATATCGCGCACTTAGAGCAGTAAATGTTTCAAGAGGTTTTGTTGAAGGTGTTCATAGTCATGAATTGTTTTGATCAGGGCAAGGCATTTCAGTATCTGGAGGATTGCTAACCAAAGGGGACAGATTTTACAGTAACTGAGGTGAGAAGTAGACATGGGGAGAAACATTGTTGTGATATAGAATACGTTGCTTGAAAAGCTGATGGTGGCAGATTTGATTGGAAGGGAATCAAAGGAAAATTACAGGGGAAAGGGCAAAGCAGTTTTATTCAGATCAGATCAGGCCAGTATGGTCATGATGGGCCAAATGGCTGTTCTGGGCTGTACAAATCAATTTCCATGTCATAATTATAATTTTTAAAAATGTATAGTTCTCATTTATATGGCATGTTTCTTCTCAGAAGTGCCCTATTAAATGAATTTCTGGACATCCAAATTAAGAGCAGACCCTTAGAGCATCCCCCAGTGTACAGGGATTTCTGAAGAAGGGTCTAGGCCCGAAACGTCAGCCTTCCTGCTCCTCTGATGCTGCTTGGCCTGCTGTGCTCATCCAGCTCTACACCTTGTTATACAGGGAGAATGATTTGGATGGAACCTGACCTCCACACTCCTGTCTACCCCCTGCCTCCTCACTAATCAAGGATCTACGCACTTTGGTCTTAAACTAGACATTGCGGTGTCTTCTTATTCATAGGTTCGTGGCTTTTTTGCATTAGTGGTGTTTGAGTTGGAGACTTTTATCTGGGAGATCGCAGAGGATTGAATCTTGTGGTGCCAGGCCAGCAGAACGAACAGCGGTAATCTCTGTTTCCAAGTCATCCACGGGGCGTTAAAAATAGGAAGAACAGCATGGAAGTAGATGGGTGTTTTTATAAGGGACATAATTAAGGGTGTTGTCACTTGGCAATGACTGCCTTGAGGCCATGGACACCTTGACTTACTCTCCTTGTTTAAATCAGCCACTGATTGATTCACATTCTGGGAACTAACTTCACACAGCAAGCTACCTCAGGCTAGATGCTGAGCTACTATTAGGCTACATTGGATTTAGGGTCACAATCTGTGGTAAACTGAGGCTAGAGAAGGCTTGCAACGTCTGCAGTGTCTGAAACCTGATTTCTCTAATCTGATTTCCTCAAATGGAGTGGCTGTTAGAGAGCTAATTTTCATTTCTACATCGCCTAGAGTACGGAAAGAGGCCATTCAGCTCATCGAATCCTGCACTGACCCTCTGAACAGCATGCTACCCCGACCCACCTCTCTGTCCTATCCCTGTAACTGTGCATTTCCCATGGCTTACCCACTTAGCCTGCACATCTCTGGGCACTGTGGGACAATTTAGCACGGCTAATCCACCCTAACCTGCACGTCTTTGGACTGTGGGAGGAAACCCACGCAGACACAGGGAGAATGTGCAGACTCCACACAGACAGTTGCCCGAGGGTGGAATCGAACCCAGGTGCCTGGCACTGGGAGGCAACAGTGCTAACCACTGAGCCACCGTGCTGCCCAAAGGTCTAATGCCTGTCTCAGAGAAAGCAAGAACTGCAGATGCTGGAGTCAGAGACAACACAGTGTGGAGCTGGAGGAACCAGGTTGAGAAAAGGTTGAGAGAGCTAGGGCTTTTCTCTTTAGAAAGACGAAGGATGAGAGGTGACTTGATAGAGGTGTACAAATTGATCAGAGATATAGATAGAGTGGACAGCCAGAGACTTTTTCCTAGGGTGGAGATAGCTTTTACGAGGGGGCATAGTTTTAAAGTGAGTGGAGGTAGATGTAGGGGAGACGTCAGAGGTAGGTTCTTTACTCGGAGAGTGGTAGGGGCGTGGAATGCATTGCCGGAGAGGGTAGTGGAGTCAGCCTCATTAGGGGCATTTAAGCGGCTATTAGATAGGCATCTGGATGATAGTATAAGGTAGGGGTGGAGGTTAGATAGACCTTAGGTTTAGGGTAATAGTTTGGCACAACATCATGGGCCAAATGGCCTGTACTGTGCTGTACTGTTCTATGTTCTACAAACACAGCAGGCCAGGCAGCATCAGAGGAGCAGAAAAGTTGACGTTTCAGGTTTGGACCCTTCTTCAGAAAAAAAATGCCCATCTGTCACTTTTGCCATGCAGCTGCTGGCAGCCAAGTTCTGCACAGCAATATCCCAAAATTCTTATCAGCCCAGTTCTAAATGAACATTGGGACCCAGCTGAGGGGCAAGCTTGGAGATCAATTTGATATCTGAGCTCAGAGTGCGGTACTCTCATCTTATCATAATATTTATTTGCAGCACGTTATCATCTGATTCTGTCCAGTAGCTGTTTGTCTTGCTGCCGATGCCCTGAGCGTTTGGGTTAAGACGCTTCAAGAATCATTTTTCCCTAATTTTGAGCAGCCCTGTGTTTAACCCACAGAACCTGTCCTCTCAGAACCCCATCTTAAAGAACATCACTGATTACTTGATTGAGGAGGTGAGCGCTGAGGAAGAGGAGCTGATGGGCAATGCCACGGATGCACCGGACGACGGACCGAAGGAGGGGAACCCAGAGGTCAACATCGAGAGGGATGAGAAGCTCATAAAGGTACAATATATCACAGCCAACAGTAATAAACACGGCATTAATGTTCCAGAGAGCAAGAGTGTCTGTTCACTCTCACACAGTGAGTGCATTTGTGTAAAAAGTCAAAACTGGAGTACAAAGTGTTGTTGACTAGTAACTGGTCTGCTCACTATTATTAAAATTACTTTTCAAATGTAGCTTCTTTGCAAGTTAATTCAATACATTCATCAGTTTCAGTACTTCAGATTTGGTTCGCACTAGTGGCAAGAGTTAATAGCTGAAATAAATTAATGGGCCAGTGAAAATGTTCTCACTGTGAAATTTTAATCCAACATACACTGAAGCTAAGTCAACACTGCAGTTTAACCCCAATTTGTCCAAATTTGCTTTCTGATTGGCATGTTATGAGTGATGAAATGTCTGCAACCAAACACACCGGCTCGACGAGCAAGTCTACAACCTCATTGGTGTACAGTACACATTGAGAGAGGTCTGTCACTGTATAACACTGGGGTACAGTACCGGTGGGGACAGGTCTGTCACTGTATAACACTGGGGTACAGTACCGGTGGGGATGGTCTGTCGCTGTATAACACTGGGGTACAGTACCGGTGGGGATGGTCTGTCGCTGTATAACACTGGGGTACAGTACCGGTGGGGACAGGTCTGTCACTGTATAACACTGGGGTACAGTACCGGTGGGGACAGGTCTGTCGCTGTATAACACTGGGGTACAGTACCGGTGGGGACAGGTCTGTCGCTGTATAACGCTGGGGTACAGTACCGGTGGGGATGGTCTGTCGCTGTATAACACTGGGGTACAGTACCGGTGGGGACAGGTCTGTCACTGTATAACACTGGGGTACAGTACCGGTGGGGATGGTCTGTCACTGTATAACACTGGGGTACAGTACCGGTGGGGATGGTCTGTCGCTGTATAACACTGGGATACAGTACCGGTGGGGACGGGTCTGTCTCTGTATAACACTGGGGTACAGTACCGGTGGGGATGGTCTGTCGCTGTATAACACTGGGGTACAGTACCGGTGGGGATGGTCTGTCGCTGTATAACACTGGGGTACAGTACCGGTGGGGATGGTCTGTCGCTGTATAACCCTGGTTGTGTACAGGTGGGAATGGGTTTGTTGCTGTATAACACTGGGGTACAGTACCGGTGGGGATGGGTTTGTTGCTGTATAACACTGGGGTACAGTACCGGTGGGGATGGGTTTGTTGCTGTATAACACTGGTTGTGTACAGGTGGGAATGGGTTTGTTGCTGTATAACACTGGTTGTGTACAGGTAGGAATGGGTTTGTTGCTGTAATGCTGTTGTATTGTGGTCACTGAGTCAGGTAAAGGATTTTGAGATTTCAAGCTCCCCATCAGCGATATGACTACACTCTCCTGCTTGTCACTTCTAGTTTCAGTGCTGCACAGGGAGGTGCTGTATTGTCAGAGATGCTGTCTTTTGGCTGTGATCTACAGTTAACAGTCCTGGCCCCCTTGGGTGGATATAAGAATTCAGTGGCCTAGAGCAGGAGAGTTTTTCTCCGTGTCCTGGGCAACAGCACGTATTTCTCAATCCAATATCTAACACTAAACTTTCCAGTCGAAATCGTCATGCTCTTGGCAGCTTGCTGTGCCAGATTGGCTGCTGTGTTTCCAACATCACAAAGGTTTCAGCCACTTGCTCTGCGTGCGCGCGCGTGTGTGCGTGCGTGTGTGCATATGTGGGGTGTGGTGTGCTAATGTTGTGAAAGCAGTAAATGAAGCTTATGAGTGCCAGGCAAATCTCTTTAACCGATGCATGTTACTGCACAGGTTCTGGACAAACTGCTGCTTTACCTTCGCATTGTGCATTCCATCGACTACTACAACACCTGTGAATACCCCAATGAGGACGAGATGCCGAACCGCTGTGGGATCGTGCACGTCCGTGGACCTCTCCCTCCCAACCGCGTCTCGCAGCATGAAGGTGAAAGCAAATTTCTGAGCGATCTGCTGGGCATTGGGAGGGGTGTGTGCAGGAGGAGGAAAGCAGGGGTATTTTAAAGGGGCATGTGTTGAAGATGTGGAGGTGGCGGGTGATGGGGAGGGTCATCGGGGCAGGCGGGGTGCCAGTGAATCAGCCCACTTGCCTGTGTTCCTGCGAGGTTAGCTGTCAGTTTATTGAGATCAAGATGGATGAATAATCCTGGAGACATCCACCACCTCCTCAGACCTGGGCACACTGAGTTCCCGCTTGGAGAGTCCAGAGGGTTACAGACGGGACATCATTGAGGAGACAGAACTTGGATTGTAGACAATCAGGAGGCTGAGGGAGCGACCTGCTAGAAGTATATAAAATTAGGAGAGGCGTTGATAAGTCTGAGTCTCTTTCCCAAAGTGGAAACGTCAAATACTAGAAGGCATGGGTTTCAGATGAGACGGGGAAAGTTTAAAGGAGATGGGAGAGGAAAGTTTTTTCAACAGAGGGTGGTAGCTGCCTGGAACGTGCTGCCAGGGGAAGTGGTAGAACTAGAGATGATAGCAATGTTTAAGAGGCATTTAGGCAGAGAATAGAGGGGTATAGATCATGTGCAGGCCGATGGGATTAGATTAGGATAGCGACATGGTGGGCCGAAGGGCCTGTTCCATTCGCATGGTAATGTCCCTGGACTCATAATCCAGAAGCTCAGTTTAATGCTCTGGGTAAGTGGGTGGTGTAGTGGAATTTAGTTATTAAAATATGGAATTGAAACCTACTCCCTGAATTGGTGAGCATGAAACTATTGTCAATTGTTGTTTCTAAAAAAAAAACCTACCTGGGTTCAGCTCAAAAAAGAAGTATGTCTTATTACCCAGTCTGGCCTACCTGTGACTCTCAACTGCTCTAGGAAGCCATTCAGTGGCGATTCAGGATAACCTTGCTAGTAGTGCTCCTGTCCCAGAAAGGACTGTTTTCAGTGCATTCAGCTGAGGGAGGTAGCCATGGTCTTGGGGATTTCTGCTCCACGTGCATGACAGACAGTGTGAGACCTGCTGCATCCGTACCTCTCTCAGATTCTAACCAGGAGCAATGTGTTTCAACAAGGGCTGACATCCGACAGCTATTCCACTGCTCAGGGGGTCACTAACAGGAGGACACAGATGAAGATAATGGGTGAAATGGCCAAAGAACACTGCGTTTTGTAGTCTGTGTGTTGAGGTGATCTGGAACCTGCTAATGTGAAAGGACAGTGGAAGCTGATCCATTAGGAACTTTCAAAAGGAGTCAGTCGAAGGGGAAGGATTTGCAGGGCTGTGGGGTAGGGACGGAGCAAGGTGGTGTAGCCTATAACCAGAGAGCTCTGACTGAGTTTGGTGCACTGCTCAGTCGAAGGAGGGTCACAGCTATTGGATAGAGTGAGATGTGCATGCAGTTCATTAGGGTGCTACTCAAACACAAGCAGAAAGTGACATATTTTATTGAGCAGGCCATTTGGAGGGTCCGTGCAGGGCAACAAGTTAGGGAAATATTGGAAGCGTGGTGGGGGCGGGGAGGCAAATGACACCCATAGCCCCAGGGCCCTGGGAAAGGAGGAGTTAAATTAGCATGGAAGAGGAAGAATGTATTTGTTAATGATCATTGGAACAAACTGAATTTCTAACCTGAATTATTTCTGTGAATGCTGATGGATTAAGGTAAGCTCCACTATCCCTGTAGTACATTGCGGAAACATTAGGCTGGTGTATTAATTGAAGTATGTCAAAATGAGGTCACCGACTCTGCAGGAAGTTTTAGTTTTGTTTGTCTGCTTGGTGTGGGCATCACTGGCAGTTCCAGCATTTATTGTCTGTCCTTGAACTGAGTGACTTGCTCAGCTATTTCAGAGAGCATTTAAGAGTCACCACATTGCTGTAGGTCTGGAGACCTGGGTAGGAGCCTCAGATTTTCCTCCCTGAATTGGATTGTGGCCCTGATAGGATTTTACAATTGATGGTAGTTCCATAGACACCATTACTGAAACTAATTCCAGGATTATCCTAAACAAATACTGAAACTCCTGGAGAAACTCAGCTGCTCTTCAGACCTGATGAAGAGTCATATCGGATTGGAAGTGTTAACTATGTTTCTGCCTCTGCAGATGCTGCTAGACCTGCTGAGTGTCTCCAGCTTTCTCTCTGTTCGTTTCATTTCCAGCATCCGCTGTATTTTGTTCTTATCCCAGAATTACTTTTGTTGTTTTTTTCCAATTACATTAATAACATATCGGCATTTTGGGTCTGCCTCCATCTCGTAGCAGTTTGAGAATGCGGCTCACAGCAACTTTCCCAGGGGCAACCAGGGAAGAACAGTAAATGCTGGCCAACCAGCGACACCAATATTCCAGGAACGAATAAATGAAAACAGACCACAAACTCCACTAGTTATCATGGTGAGATTTGAACCCATGTTGTCCCCAGAGCATTATCTTGGGCCTGTGGGTTTGTAACCCAGTGACATTAGGCCACTGTCTTGCCTCAACACAGGTGCGTGCTCCACTGAGGCCCAGTGATCTTGAGGTTGGTTGGCTGACCGAGCTGGTTTGTTGTTTCGCAGACGTTTTGTTACCGTGCTTGGTAACATCCTCAGTGCAGCCTCTGATGAAGCGTCGGTGTGTTTTCCCGCCTGGCTTTTAAACTCTGAGGTCTGTTGCGATGGACTGCCTCATTTCCAGGTTTCCTCTTTAGTGGAATGTATATGGGATCGAGTTCAATGTGTTTATTAATAGCCTGTTTTGTGGAGTGCCATGCTTCCAGGAATTCTCGTGCTTGTCTCTGCCTAGCCTGTCCCAGGATCTTGGTGTTGTCCCAGTTGAAGATCAGTGGTTCTCCTTGTCCGTGTGGATTGAGATGAGTGAGTATTGGTCGTGTCTTTTTGTAGCCAGTTGGTGTTCATGTACTCTTGTTGTTAGTTTCCTTCCTGTTTGTCC